AGCCAGCCCCCACCTCCCTCTCCAGCACCCCTGGCTGGGCTGCCCTTCAGCCTCCCTCCTTCCTGTCTCCGAGCAGGAAGCCCAGGGTCTTCCCTAGGCATCGGCTGTCACATTGAGGTCACTGAGCCCACATCACCATGCCCGAGGCTCATCCCAGGTTTGGATCTGGGATGACTGTCCCCTCTTTGAAGGCCTAGCCTGTGGTCCCCTCTCCCATGGCACTTCCTGCTCTACCTGGAGCATGTGTTCTTTTCTAGAAGGCAGACGCAACCCCTCGGCACTAAGTCACACTCACAGGGTGATCCCATCTCCCCATTGGAAACACTGTGACAGCACTGGATCTGGAAACACAGTTCTCATAGGTAGCATCCAATGAAATTCAGCTAAAAAGGGGGACAGCCCCCAAAGAAGCTGTGAGCACCAAGGGATGCTAAAAGCTGCCTTCACGTGGCTCAAGCAGTGTCAGGGCCAGTGGTGTGGCTGCTGTGGGCTGACCAGAGGTGACCAAGGCAGTGGTCCTTGCCTCCTCACAGCCATGGCCTGGGGCTGTGAAAGGGCCAGCCTTCCAGGGGTCAAAGCCTGGTCACTCTGGGGGAAAAAGTTGTCTCTTACTCCACTTTTTCACTGAAGCCCTCACACTGCTCCAAACCCACACACTTGTTTACCTCCATTTGGTCCCAGCCACCAGTAGCTCCCGTAATGGGAATGTGGTGCAGGTGGAACCAAAGGCCAGAAACAAGCAGCCCCCTGGCTGCGTGTCTGCTGGGCTTCAGTCTGCGGAGCACTGCACAGAAACCCCAACACCCAAGGCCAAGGCAGAAACAACATGCTCTGTAGGAGGGTGGGCACTGCTTCAATGGAGAACAGGGCAAAAGAAAATGGTTTTGTTTCCTATTTTATTACATCAATGGCTTGAAAATTTTTATTTAACTTCAGCAAATATCGGAAATAGAAAAATGAATTCTGCAGAATTTCACAAATAAAGTTTCCAATTTCCACTAACCCATGTTATCATTCAATGGCTAAGCGATTACAATGCTATCGACATTCACCACAATGCATGTGCCGAAATAGAAAACAGGCAGGAAGAAACATGAAAATAGTACTTACAACAGCGTTATTACAACATAGTTTCTTTAAAATTCCAACGCGAATTTTATCACTGCAAAAGATATACAGCATCTCCATTATATCTGCAAACTTAACCTTATACATCTTTTAAAATCTCGAAAATGTCTTAAGCGATCTAAAAAGCACTTAGCAAAGTTGAGAAGGTCTACGTAACGGCATCCCGTCCAGTCCAGAGGTTCTCTTCAGGAGGCGGCGAGCGGCTGTAAACACTCATCAGGGCACGACATGCATAGACTAGACTGACCGTCCTTCCGCGCTGCGGCTTCACTGCAATTGTGCTTTACTCTACTGTAACCAGGGGAGCTGCAGAGACCCGGGGAGTGGCACCCAGGGGACTCGCGCCCGAGCCGTGCACGAGATCACTAGCTCAGATTGGCTAACTACCTGGCATCAATCGTAGGCAAAGTTTCCCTTGATACGAAAAGCTTGCGTCCTGGGCCACCAGATTCTGAGACAGGCTGGCCAGGCGGAGCGTTGGCTCTCCTGGAGCTGGCCCCATCCTCCCTTTGCGCACACACGCAGGGACCCAGTTAGTGTAATGCACTGTTTGGCTTATTTTTGGTATGCTATTATACCAATGGTCCATCTGTCATTTAGAAAGACAGAAAGAGGGCGGAGTGGAAGTTTAAAGTGGTGATGAGCACACTCAGAGTGGTGTGTGGTCTTGGAGCAGAGTACATATACAGAAAATAGCTGCTGCATCGGTCCGCCACAGGACGCTTTTAAAACCTAACTATTTTTCCAGCTTCAGTTTTCTATTAGAGGTTTGTGGCTATCAAAGGATGTCACAGGTGAAAAACCATCAAAACCCACTTTGAGCAGTTGGTGGTCTCGGCAGGTCCAACTCCCCAAGACCACGCGGCAGCCGCACTACACTAGCCCTGGGCCCCTGATGCCACCGGCTGTTGCCCATCAGCAGCTCAACTTCCCAGGCCTGGGCTTCCCAGGGTCATAGAGCCATAGGACAAACGTGATCACTGCTTCAGACCAGTTAACACAATATTCAAGTAACAAGGTGTTTAAATGGTAAGTGAAAAAAATGTTTACCTAATACTTTACACAGCTACATAAAATTAAATAAAACAAACTTTTAATGCATATGCAATACAATTTATATCTTTTAGGATTTCTAAACTAAAAGTTAAACTATCATCTGCTTCAATGATACTGTATTTTGCACAATAACTTATACTCAGGAGAAATTTTCCACAAAAATATATATAATTATGACATTCACATTGATAATTTTTAAGAAGACAAAGCTTAACAATACATCTTAAGCAGTCATCACTGTGGACCCTCGCACATCCCAACACGACCTGCTGATGAACCCTATCCTCTTGGTATGTTAAGGGTCTTCACAGAAATAAAACCGAACCACTTAACTTTTAAAGCTAGGTGATTTCTTGCATTTAGAACATCATTGCAAAGACAGTGTCTCGAAAGAAGTTTGGAACACAGCGCTATCTCATCACGACACCACAGCAAGGCCGTCAGCAAAGACAAAGACTGCCTTCTTCTTTCCGTCTCCCTTGGAGGGAAAGCCACAATCCAACTGTGCTGCCCCTAAGTGCACCAGCAGAGCGACTTCAGGATGGGCGCCCCTAAGTACACCAGCAGAGCGACTTCAGGATGGCACGCCCCGGTGCCAGGGGCGAGTGGGGGCCGAGCAGGGTATAGGCAGCCTGCTTGCCAAGCTAAGTGAGTGCAGGGTAGGCCTCTGGGCGCTGTTCAGGAGGGATCCGTTCTTAAGGGAAACAGCCTGGGCGAGGAGAGGGGCAGGGTGGCTCCCTCGCAGAGTGAGGCAGCCCCTGCAGCAAACTGCCTACCGCTCCAGGTTAGGAGGAAGGAGGTCTTGAGAAGCAAGGAGAGCCTAGAGCTGTGCTTCAGGCCTTAGTGTCCCCTTTCAGAGATGTGCAAAATCGACCCCACTCCTCCCCATGGGTTCCTGCCGCTTTTCAATTACACAGCAGGCCTACGATAAAAACAAAAACAAAAGCCTAGTCACTGCTAGTGTTATTTTGCTACCTGTCTCCAGGTGGGAAGAGCTGCTGGGATCACCCTCTGCCCGTCTGCTGCTGCCCCTCACACGCTGCTTCCTGGCCAGCAGACACCCAGTATAGGTGCAGCCTAGGAAGGCTGGGAGAGGCCCATTGACTCCCCCAGGAATGACCTTTCTCCAGCTTGGGGGGGGCGGCTAGTACAATTCCAAACAACTGAGGTTTCTTGCTGACTCTCTTTCTAAAGAGAAAGCCAGCCAGCTGACTTATTAAAAAAAGGCAAGGTGCTTGGGATTCAAAACACATCAAATTTTAATTGCATATTTTTAAATTCTTAAGAATTCTGTTTATGCCTTAAAGCATCTGCATTTTTTTTTCTTTTTGGTATTAAAAGCAGAAAAAGTATTTAACTAAATGATGCAACACACACACACACACACACACACACACACACCCCAAAAAACAAAAGGGAAAAGGCTACTCTGACGCTGACACCCTTAGCGCAGGCTGAACAGCCAGCGGCGCGGCTGGCTTGGATCTGGCCCTCCTGCCCTCGCAGCCACAGTCCGGTAAAGATACCGAAGTGAGTCTGGAAATCTTACAACATTCACCGGGAATTTTCACTTGTCCATCCAGAAGGCATTACATCCTACTTCGTGGACTGCTTCTTCCCTCGGTCTGTACTAGACCAGTAAATCGTTCACTTCTTGGCCCTACACCGTAGCTTGAAGAGACAGGGGATGGTACGTGTACTGTCGCATCAGGACGTGAAGGACACACAAGGATAGAAAGTGTGATGTGGAAAAGGCCAGCCATACCGAGAAGATGGGAACAAAACCATCACCAGTGGCCCAGAAGCCTGTATGGAGCTGAATGGCATTTCAACCGGCGCTCCGTCAGAAGCTGCAGCAAGCTCCTGTCTCCTAATGCCAGCGGTGTCATCTTTGGCAAGCACTAAACTTTAAAAAGAAGTAAGACACTCCAACAGAAGAAGGGCTGATAGCATGGCTGCCAAAAGGAGAAGGCACCAATTCAGAATGAACAAGCACCAGGTGCGGAGGTTTGGACCGAATCTCTTGGAGGTGGCGGTGGGTGGGGTGGGGTCAGGACAAGTTAGGTGGTGCCCATCCTGGGACGGTAATGGTAGAAGAGGAAGGCAGACAGGTCACCATTCCCTTTAGGCCACAGTGTCCAAAGACAGCTGCTGGGACAGCTTTCCACCACTTGGGAAGGGAGAAGGGAGAGATCTTAGCCAACTAAATTATAAACCATAATTCTACAAAATTCTATGCAAAGTTGACGGAAATGTGACTTGTCTCAGGATGCTTGGCATGATAAGGATCACAATGCAGTCTGCCAATGTACTGCGATTTCCCAAGAAGCACCTAAGTGTCACTTAGGTGGTTGCCTCAGAAAAGAACATGAGAAACCTTCTAGAAGGCCCACAGGGTCACAGTTCTCTGAAAATTACGTTATGCACAAAGTAGAAACTGCAGGCCATGCAGGAACGGAACCGTGCCTTCTGGGCCGATGCCTGCTCTGGAGCTGCCGAGTGGGAAGAGCTGCTGTCGGTGGGGCTGGGGCTCCGGCTGGGCGGTCTCCCCAAGTCACAGGAGGGGTGCAGGCCGGGAGGCCTCCCAGCATTGAGGCCGAGCGTGAGACGCACACGGAGCTCTCCGGGAAGCGGTGCCAACATGGAGGAACGAGCAAGGAATTAAGGCAGGTGGAGCACAGGGCTGAAGATACGCCTGTTTTGGTAATAGCTGCTTGTCCACAGAGCAGTGATGCAGACGGCTAGGTGATGTCCAGTAATACCTGATAGCTGATAATGCAGTAGTCCACACCAAGTGTTCAAGCTCAAAGAGTGGCTCATGAGGCAGACGCGTATCTGACGTCGAGAACAGAAGCAGCCTGAGGAGAAGAGGAAAGAGAATCAAAGAGGGCTGGTGAACAATACAGACGGCTAATGACAGCCCTCTGCGAGGGGGAGATGAGTGCCTCTTCCCCCATACCAACCTCTACTGCAAAATGTCACAAACGCACACGTTCCTAAGGGCGGGGCCTGTGGGGACAGCTGCGCCATGGCGAAGCGCGCACAGAGCAGGGTGGGAGCAAGGCCTTGATCTCCAGACATCCAGGCCAAATCACAGGCCCATCACGGTCTACCTGTGTAACCTCGGCCAAGAATCCTTTCTTTCTGTGCCTCAGTTTCTTCAGATGCAGAACGCACATACTGACACCACCTGGGTCACGGTGATGGAGGAGGAAGTGCCAAGCTCTCTAAGCGGCACGTTAGCACAGGGTCACAGGGCCTGGCAGGCAGCACTGCTCAGGTGTGCAGCAGCCGTGGTCATTCGTACGGCAGAAGGACGTGGGGACAGCCACCCTGGAGCAGAAGCACAGCGGTACACAAAGGCACCTCTCCCTCTTCCCGTTCCACTTTCCACAACGACTCCCAGCCCCAAGGCCCACGGTGACATGAGCACCAAGGCACATCCTCTTGGTGTGACAACTGGGCCGCACTGCTAGAGCAATACCTGGGCTGGGAACCCAAATGCATGTTCCTCCCACTGCAATGCACAACCAACAAAGCAGCTGTCAGCTGCATCTAGCCTGCTCCTGACAGTTAGTTGCTCCGTGATTTCAAGCAAGGTGCTTTTTTTCTGCTCCCATCACTGCTAGTTACCCTCCAGGCCCTTTCAACGTGAGGTCAGATGGGACCCCACCTCAGGCGGCACCCCGCACTTGGCCACCTCAGAGTACGTGGGACCTCAAAAGCTCACAGGCCTTGGGCTAGCTCTCTTTTTCATCCCTAAAGCAAATAGACTTATTCCTGGAAGTCTGTAACTGGTAGGCCCTTACATTAAAAGCACTGTTTGAGGGCGCAGTGGGCCAAGCAGGCAGAGCGGGCAGACACAGGCCCCCAGCCCACCTCTCTCCCAGCTGCTGGACCCACAGGATAACAGGAATGTGAAGTTACAAGGACACCAAATTCTGAGCACTCTCCAGAAACATAATTAACCAGCATCCTAACAAGTTCCCTGAAGCTCTCAGTGGACACAGGGAAGCAGCTGCTCATTACGATTTATTTCCTTCTGCAAACTAACATCTGGAGAACAGAAAGCCAGCAGTGGAGGCGGAGGGCTGGTGCTGTAAGCAGTGAAAGAAGAGAAGACAGAGGAGTGATGAGTAGGTGAGTGTGGGAAAGGACAAACGGGGGCAACTTGTCACAGGGGATGGGAAGAGTGCACAGTGAAGCGAACCAGAGGGTACCGTGCTCCTTACCCCCACTCTGGCTGCACAGAAGGCTGCCAGACACTCAGGACCTGCTGCTTGCTGGGAGGTCTAGTTACGGGTGACCCAACACTACCAGAGATGCTGAAAGAGCACTCAATGGGTATCTGATCTATAATCAGCTTGGTAAGTGGACCCCATCAGTGAAGACGGGCCTTCTGAACTAATACTAAGGGAAGGAAAAAGGAACTGGTGGGTGTGAGTCATGCACCAGGCAGATGAGAAGGGAGAAACGCTTATGTAAAGGGAGAGGTGATGACGCTGGTCCTAAGATAACGATCAAGACCCTTCACTCCAGCCTCACCCACTGACACCAGTTCTGATTAAACCTGAAGAAGGCAGACAGCCAGTTTCTTCTCATTTCAGCTTCTAGCTACCCTGAGCGCAACGTTGGAAACCCACACGGACGAAGTGTCATACCATGCCAATCCTGATGTTCCTGCCCCAGGACTCTATCCCGTCAGGGCTTCCTAAATTAAAACCAGGGACTTTAGGGAAGTTAGTGTGTTGCTGAAGAAGCACAATCACTGCCAAGAGATGAAAACATCTTCATTTTGCTCTCATATCCTGGCTCTCAGGCTGGGCCAGGCACTGGGGCCAGAGTGAGGGCGGGGAGGTGCAGGGGCCCCACTCCTAGTGTTGACAGTGTAGCTTCTGCACTTTTTACAAAGCTATTCTGGTAGAAGACTCTAAGGAGTACACGTTAACAAAACTGATCCATTCTAACACTTTCCCAACAGATGGAAGTAAAGCACCCTGAAGCCCTTTCCTAACTGGTACTGAGGCCCTGCAGGGACAGGCATTCCAGGGTCTTCCTTAGGGGACATTTCCATGCTGAGGTCAGAGGGGGTCTTGGAGCACAGAAGCAGTGTAAGAGGTCCAATACAGGTCATTTGAGATCACCCCTGGATGGCCTGGGGAATACCCTGACGAGAAAGTGACCTTCCTCAGAAAGCTGACACTGATGCCTAAAGGACCACATCACCGAGCCACAGTGGTTCCAACGCAGGGACCGATGTTTCACTCTTGCCCGTGCGCAGCCTCCAGCCTCATGTCCTATAGGTGGTAGGCAGGTATGTAACAGGGAAGGCCCAGTTAGGTGACAAGATGGCAGGCAGCCTGTCATGGGAAGCAGGGTGGCAGCAGATGGGTCACTGATGATGACATGGGGCCACTGTGCCGGAGACTACTGGAGTGTTAGCCACTGTCCTGGAAGCTGCAGCCAGTCCCAGGACCCTGAACTGTCCCCAAACAGCATCAAAGGCTGGGAGAGGGGAGGAGCTCCAGCTGGGACTCCAGCTGTGGAGACTCACCCAGGGAGCGCACACCTCACGTGACTGAGCTTTTCTGACAGCTCCTACCCAGCCTATTGTCGCACGGCAGAGTTTTCACTGTATTTAAGGAGATAATGGTAATATGGAGTATTTGCGTCTGGAGAAAATCAGGATGGAATTAAGAATTAATACAGAAATTAAAACGTGAATAATATGCATAGTGACCATGGATTGACTAGTATTAACACACGTACTATGGTATTTACAGGCAAAAGTCAAGCTAACAACATAGCTGAAACCTAAAAATATTTCTATAGCTGAAAAAGTCATCGATTTAGAAGCTAGCAGGAAGAGCGAGCATGAACCTGGCAGAGAAGAGGTTGTGTTGTTTCAGATTTACCTCGTCTTCCTCTTCAGGCATCTTAATAGAATTATCCGGGGACTTTACAGGTTTCTGGTTACTGGGCCCATTGGTCTCTTCTTTGCCATGTTCTGCCTCCCATTCTTGTAAAACTTCATCTATGTTGAAGCGGCGTCGATAATTTACAAAAAAGTTTTTCACTTGCACCACTGACTTGTTCCCAATCACATCTGAGATGGCCTGAAAATCTCGGCCATATTTCCTGATGGCTGAGGATGGAAGAGAGTATTTTTTTTTTTTCCAAAAAACAAAAGGGAAACAACTTTTAAAAAAACACAATTGAAACTTAACTTTATTCAGATTAAAAGAAAAAACGAAACCCCACAGGCTTTTGCTAGCAGGCCCTATCTTAGTGAGAAGCAGGCCCCGTCTTAGTGAGAAGTAGCAGGCTCTTCTATATACATCCCACATGTGATGGACCTGAGAAGTTCTGAAGGACCTATCATCTGGGGATGGATGTCCTATCATTTCCACAGGACAAGTGAAGTCACCGACAAGTACCCCATGGCCGTGGACACACTGCACCCTCCCCCAGGGCTCCCCCAGGGCTTGCCCCTCTACTTCTGCTTCTTTCAGGGCTTTGTTCTTGCTCACTCCTCAGAGCTGACCAAGACCTGCTAAAATGAAGTACACCCTTGGAAAATGAAGAGAGCCCAGTGGCTCTGGGCTTATCAGCTACTAATGGAAAAGCTGGTTGTTTGACCCCACCTGCAGCTCCATGGGAGAAAGACGAGGCAGACTGCCCCTGGAAAGATTTACTGCCTTGGAAATCCTATGGGAGCAGTTCTACTCTGTCCTACAGGGTCCCTGTAAGTTGGAATGGACTCACTGGCTAAGGACCCTGAGTTAATTTTATAACTTGTGAGCCATGAGAAAGTGAAACGAAAAGGAAAGCCCACAGGGAAAGCATAACGTGGCTGGAACATCCACTAAAAGGGCGTCCTCCTCCAAGACTCTCACAGCAGCAACAACGGGCTGTGAGCAGGGCATGACGCCCCTCCCCCACCAACTGCCATGGCTGCTCAACTGAACTGACTCTCTCCACACCTTGTACGGCGAGAAGCTGCTCCTCTGTGGTCCAACGGGCGTTAAATTTCTGAATGACCTGAAGAGCCAAATAACACGTGTTAGCACATTACACTTAGGGAGGAATGTGTCCTCAGGAGGGCTGAAAGAATCTTTTTCTTGTGTAAGAATGTTAATATCAATCAGGTTTACAACACTGTATCGATACCCTTCTTTCTAAGGGCTGTATTACACAGACAGCAAATTCCTGAGCAGGTAAAACTTGTATTATAACTTCTGAGATGATGTAAACATAATCCTACCTCTGGAAGTCGATATGGTTCTATTCCACCATCAAGTTTCTCTTTAAGAGCACTATTTGTCTGTTTAATATTCTGAATCTAAGAAGAAAAAAAAAATTATTTAAAAAATGAAAAACTTTTACTTTAAAAACAAGACTAAAAAACCTACAACAAACAAAACACAAAAACCCAAAAGCAAGTATGTTTCTGACACCTACTTCAGACAAAATTTCAGATCTCTGTTACCTTTTGAGAGCACACACTTGCTACTTTAACTGGCGTGCTCAGAGCAAACAGATGAGGGACACCCAGGAAGAAAGGGATGGTGGGCAAGAGCTCCTTGGCACAGCCCCAGCCGACTGTTAGAGGAGATCACTGGGCCAGCAGCAGACGTGTGCCTGGAGCTTGACACAGACAGAGCGGCTGTCCAGACTTCGCACAACACAGAGCCGGAGTAGCAGAGCACACACAGGCGGGGCAGGAGAGGCATGTGAGGCATGTGGTCTCCACGGAGCTCAGTGTCCGCAGCAGAATCACAGGGGCAGCCTTGCTAAGCCCCCAGCCCCGCGCTACCCAGGCTCAGGACACCTGGCTCTCCACAGGGCAGAAAGGCTACCATGGCGAGAAAAGGAAAGTGGCACGCCACTGGACTTCCCACAACCCTGGGTTGGATCGATGGTAGCCGCTTATCTCCTCACACATTATTCTCCCACACTGCTGCCGTGCCTCGGTGCCACTCATCTCTCACTGCCCCTGCCTAATCAAGTGAAGGCATGCCCACCACCCAGCCACATGGGGCTGAGCCTTCCTGGCCCTTCCCCGGTGAGCTTGGGGAGGGGCTGGTCCCAGAAGCACCTCTCTCAGCTCTAAGAAGAGGGGCGTCTGTGAGGGCCAAGCTACACCTCTGACCCTAGCATCTGTCATCTTTGGATAATCACAGAGCATAGGAAGCGGGGAAAAAGCACTCCACTTTCCCAAAGGAAATATCAAGGAGGCTCCCGAGTAGAAGGTACAGAAATGGGACTTCACAGGGGGAGGGGGAGGGAAGAGGAGGAGGGGAGGCAGGGGGCCTGCCCTCCGACACTTCTCAGTAATTCTCTCAAACTTTTCATACTCTTATGTTAATGAACCCCAGGGCTGGACTGTTCCCAAGTGCTTACACTTCACAGAACTCCAGCTTCACACACCCTCTCCTATGTCTGCTTCTGTGAAAAGTTTAAAAGTTCGGGCTGGGCCAGGATGAAGGTTCTCCATGGTGCTGGGCCAGCGGCCAAGGAAAGCAAAACCAGCAGGTGCTGAAGGAACCGGGTTCTGACTCTCTTCAGTATTAGTCAGGGCTTCCGAATCTACCAGAAACACGGCACACTCCCTATTCTTTTGTACAATGCCAAATCAGAGTGTAAAGACAACTGAGAAGATAAATACAGGAAACGTGCAAATTTACCCTACAGTAACATCATCAATGGGCTTACCTCAAGCTACCGAAATGTTTTAATCTAACTGATTTTGAAAAGGCATAAATCAGAAAAAATGAACTGGTACTGAAAATTTACTCACAGGAAATCAACATCCAGCTCTCAAAACAACACTGCCCAGAGATAATTTTGTGGTGATGGGAATATTCTAAAGTTGTGCTGTTCAATATGGCAGCCACTAGCTACATGTTGGGGAGTTCTGGTGGCGTAGTGCCTTAGGCACTTGACTGCTAAGCAGAAGGGCTGGTGGTTCAAACTCACCAGCCACTCCTCAGAGGAAAGGTTGGGCAATCTACTTCCATAGTGATACTGCCTCGGAAACCCAGGGAGGGGTTGCCATGAGTCGGGCTCTACTTGACGGCAAATAACAACAACAACAACAGTTGTGTGTTGCTACTGAGCACTGAAGTGACTAACATGACTGAGGGACTGAATTGTTAATTTTTTTTCGATTTTCATTCAGCTAATTTTAAATAGCCATGTGTGGCTAGAGGCTTGGCCAACACGATCCTGAAGACTTTCGCTCAGTGTTCTCTCAGTTCCAGTGGCTCTGGAGATGCTGCAAGAAGCTGAGAGTATGTTCACCGAGCCAAGAGGCCAAAGGGTGGACAGAGAAACTTCTGACAGGGAATAAGCCAATCCTCAAACGTCAAAGAGTTGAGTGGACTGCAAGTCCCCAGCGTCAGTCAGATGGGTTACCCTACACACTGTTCACATAAGGTACAAAAAGGATTTTCTCCTCTGATTAAGTAACATGCATTTTTCAAATAGATCAACATGCATGTTTCACATATGCATTTTCTGCCTTAAATCAGTACAGTAGGACGGAGATATGAAGGGTCATGGCTTGTGCCAGGTGCACCTTAGTCCCTAAGGAGACATCCTTGCTCCTCAGCACTTGATACAGTTCCTTCACGGTTGACTTTCCCAATGCTACACATCATCTAATGTCCTGACTGCTGCTTCCATTGGCATCAATTGCAGAACCAAGCAACGTGAATTCTTTGATAACCTCAATCTTCTCTCCATTTATTGTGATGCTGCTCATTGGTCCAGTTGTGAGGATTTTTGTTTTCTTTATATTGAGACGTAATCCATA